CTCACTTCCCAAACCCCAATGCCATGCCCTCCTCCTGTGTCCCCATTACTATGGCAGCCGATAGCAAGCATGCGTCAAAGGGGAAACCCAGGCTGGAGATCTAGCTGACAGTTGGACTGATCCAATAACAGCAATTGTACATTTTTTAAAAAAGAGCAGGGTTTTCTGGGTATTTTATCAGGGGAGGTATTATGAGAGGGGTCCATGAGTCCTTTTAGAAGGTGCAGTATAGTAGGACTGGATAGCCCCTTGTCCATAGAGGTATAGTCTCAGCTCATATAGAATTTTTTAATATCGGCCTTTCAAGACTGCTGTGGGAAATACATTTTAATATCGGCCATGCTGAAGTTAATCCCTTATGATAGGGATGAGCTTCAAAAATTTCAGCAACGGGTTCTCTGCCTGGTTGCTGGGTGGGCGTGGCCATGATGGGCGTGGCCTAGTCAGTCTTCTGCACCGGGGGGGGGGGGGGCTTTTTGCCTTCCCCAGGCTCCCTAGGCTTTCCTCAAGCCTCTGGGAGGGCAAAAACGGCCTCCCCCAGGCTCTGGAGACCCTCCGGAGGCTGGAAATGGGCCCATTTTTGGACTTCTGAACTTCCAGGAGGCCCATTTTTCACCTTTCCTGAGCCTCTGTACAGGCCCTGTGCAGACCTCGCATCCAAAGTGGGCCACATGGAGACTCCTGGGAGGGGGGGGGCTGTTCTGACCCAAGCCTTGTTCAAAGCAAACAAACACCAAACAGAGATAAAAGCAAAACCTTTTGAATGCTTCTCTATGAATTCCGTTCATTCACAGTAAAACTGCTATTAAAAACTAATTGTCCCAGATAAAAACAAGCCTTGCCAAGGTTGTGCAAGGCTGCCAAGAACGCTAGATTAAATTGCAAGGGAATAATCAAAACCCAAAAGTCTCCAAACACAAACCAAGATAGTCCGAACTTCCACAAGACTTGAAGTGCAAGAACTTCTTTTCTTCCTGCAAAGAATCTCACCTCTGAGGGCTGGCTTTTATCCCTTAAAGGGAGGAGCCATCACCTTGCAGCCTTACTCCCGAGTTGCCCGTACTGTTGCAGCTGCTCTTTCCTTTGAACAGCCCTGCGCGCACGCGCACTGGGCACAGGCTCCTCGGGATCCTCTTTGTCACTACTGCCAGCTCCCACAAGCTCCAAAGGCAGCACTCCGCTCCCTGATAGTCCTGGCCCCATCTCTACATCACACGCAGGCCCCTCATCTGAGTCCTTGCTCTCCGAGACCTCAGCCGTCTGCACCCGCTGCCGGCGTACCACAACAGGGGCAGGGTGGGGTGGGATTTGGCGGTTCACTGAATCAGCCATAACATTAGCTATGGGTTTGCCCGAACCCGGGTGTACCCCTAGCAGCCCACACCTGGCTGTGGGAAGTACATTGCAGCATGCTAAATGTCAATCCCTTCAGAGTCTGGCGACAGTTATATGGTGTGAATATCTTTCTGCTTTGAAAAGAGGACTTTTGACTTCTCTCTCCTGGAAGAATTCAAAATGGATTTGAATTCCATAGACTAATAAACTTTTTCTCCATTTGCAGCTGCCTGTCCTCCAGGTTCCTCCTTTCAGAACGGGGGCTGCATTCCATGCCCTTCTGGATTCTATCAAGACCAAGCAGGAAGTAACTTCTGTGTAAAATGTCCTCTTGGGACACAGACCGTCTCTCCTGGAGCTTTCAGAGCCGATCACTGTAAGAGTCTTTGAAAAAATGCATGATGTATTTTCTGTTTGATGTTGAAGATGTTGTTGTCAGTGCTCCATCACTGGAGGTTTTCAGAAAAAGACTGGGTGATCATTTATCCAGATGATATTGAGCAGGGAGTTGGACTAGAATTCCTCCAAGATCCCTTTCAAGTTCCAACTCTATTATTTTATGTTCTATATACTGATTTCCAGTTGTTTAATAAAATAAAGCAAGGTTAAGGTTTCCCTTATCCAATCATGTAGTTTCATACATTACGCTAAACCAGGGCTCTCCAATCTTGGCAACTTTAAGACTTGTGGACTTCAACTCTCAGAATTTCCCTGACCAGCATGGCTGGTGGGGGAATTCTGGGGGTTGAAGTCCACAAATCTTAAAATACCCAAGTTTGGCGACCTCTTCCCTAAACCAAGGACTGGTTATTGGATAAATCACAATTACCTGGATTGCTTAAATGAACTATAGTTATCTGAGTTCTTATGTGACACGGTCATAAATCCTGGTTTAAGAAGCAGAATGGGTGGGTTTACACAACATACTGAAGCAAAGCAAGCAACATTATAGGTTAGAATATGGTATCCTATACAATGTTCAAAGCATTTGTTTTGGATGTGGCTGGGTCAACAAATAATGGGACAGCAGGATGGTAGAATTCTGGGTTGTATCTGGGTTTGTATTGTTTTCCTTAACTGTGGCTTCTTGAATAAGATACAATAGTTGCAATATAATATTTGCACATTATGCTAAGCCAAAGCTAAAAAATCCACCTTATAGTTTTGTACAGAATTCACACCTAGCCCAGTGAAGTAAACATTCATTGATAAATAGGAGACAGAAACTTCAACTTAAGGTCTGATTCATCCAGAAAGGTCTTTGGCTGGAGAATTATAAACAGATGGACTTCTGGAGTCCTTTGATGGCCTCTGAACTTGGTTGGTGTTTTTTTTTTTGCAGATGTTTCATTACCAAACTAGGTAATATTATCAACAGCACTGTTGATGTTACCTAGTTTGGTAATTAAATGTCTGCAAGCAAACAACCAAAGTCAGTGAGTACCAAGGACTCCACTCTTCAACCCTGAGCTGCAAATATTCTCTTCTATTGAATGGAAGTCTGTCCCACCAATTTTTTTTTTATAATTCTGTGCCCATCCCAGGTATTACTGATTGCCAGAGGAATGAGCAAGCTGGACGGTGTGATGAAAATGGCCAGTATAGACCTTCTTACAAAGATCTTTCCACCCAAAGGTCATTTTGTGTTGACAGCAATGGAAAGAGATTAGACTGGACAGAGACAGATGGTTCTTGGACAGATTCCCAGTGTTCAGGTGAGTAGATTGGTCAAGCCTTCACATCATAGAAGTAGAACTTTGACATAACCCAATGGTGCTTCTCCAGAAGGCAACTGGACTTTCTTCTCCAGTTTTTTTTTTTTTCCATTTGAAAATGTTTTTGAGGAAAAAAACTAGACATCCAGTTGCCTTTTGAAGAAACACATTTGGGACAACCATGATCGGGATGATTGAGACAGTGGTGGGATTCAAATTTTCTTACTACCGGTTCTGTGGGCATGGCTTGGTGGGCATGGCAGGGGAAGGATACTGTAAAATCTCCAGTCAGAAGTGGTATTTGCCGGTTCTCCAGAACTGGTCAGAAATTTTCGCTACTGGTTCTCCAGAACTGGTCAGAACCTGCTGAATACCACCTCTGGATTGAGGATCTTCATAGACAACTTCAAAAAAAAAGAAGATGCATCCATGGATGCGTTGCAAGGTGAACTCCCTCGTTTTCCTTCTTCCCTCCTTCCCTTCCCTTCTTTCTAATTAGGACTATAAGATTTAGTAAAACTGAGTACTCCCTTTGGGCCCAACTGTAAAAGGCCTTAATTGTTTTAGCAAGAAATAATTGGACATTGTTTCATCTTCTCTCCCTAATCCTTGGGGATGAAATTGGCACTTGTGTTCGCTTAAACTGATCCTGAAGGAAACCCTTGGCATTTATTTCAGAGAAGTTGTAAGAGGAGACAACATTCCTTGGGGTGGCGTCGGCTGGTGTGCAGTTACGCAACTGTACTTGAGGTGCCTTATTCATTAAGGTATCACATATCCCAGGGAAAAGATAAACCTGTTTTCAAAATAATAGCGGTTACCATAATAACAGCCTTCAGAAGTTGTAATAATAGTAATCCGAATTAGCATCTTCATCAGTAGTTTTTATTCTTAATTGACCTTCTAGTGGTGCTGAGGTTTAGAGTACCTTTTGCTTCTGGTTCGCATCCCTTGAAGTCCTCCATATGTTATTCTCCGTGTGTGTGTGTGTGTTTGTGTGTATCCATGTGTGTAAATCTGAGTGTAAGGAAATGGAAAAGCATTTCTATTTTTCTTTTATTTATTTGTTTGTCAAACATATACAAGATAACAAGTATAGGTATGAACCTAAACAAGAACAAAGGAAGTAAATATAGATAAATCAGGACAGTAAGACAGGGACGGTAGGCACGCTGGTGCGCTTATGCACACCCCCTTTAAGGACCTCTTAGGAAGGGGTGAGGTCCACAGTAGACAGTTTGAGGTTGAAGCTGTGAGGGTTTGAGGCTGTAACAACAGAGTCAGGTAGTGAGTTCCAGGCATTGACCACTCTGTTGCTGAAGTTGTATTTTCTGCAATCGAGTCTGGAGTGGAATAGAATAGAATAGAATAGAATAGAATAGAATAGAATAGAATAGA